TCTGTCTGTCTGTCTGTCTGTCTGTCTGTCTGTCTGTCTGTCTGTCTGTCTGTCTCTTTCTTGCTCTTTTCCCCTCGGATTTTCTCAATCGTCATGATCTCTGTCCTCTGTCTACCACCCCCCCCCACCCTCCCTTCCAACTTCTTTCAGGCTCTCTCATTCATATTCGTAATGTAATCTGTCTCTTTCCATTGAAAGATAGATCTCCGTTCTGTCTGATGCGGTTTGCTAAGCTTCTGTCTGCTATATGTCTGCTTGTCTGCCTCTCTCCCTCTCTCTCCCTCTCTCCCCCCCCCCCATTTTTCACTTTTCATCCAAGTCTGTTTGCACCAAGTGGGTAGTTGGAGGGAGCTACAGGTAGATCCTATTACTTTTCTTCCCCTATCTTACTTTTCCCTGCACCTAGTGATCTTTATCGGGCTGATGTACTTCCCTTTTCTCAATCTCAACACCCTATGTCATTGTCTTCGTTAGACCATTTTGCTCGTTCCTATTACTTTTGCAGTCACATGTATCTGGCAAATGCGCCCAGACCTAACTTCGGACGAAAAACAAACTGTTCTTTTCTTTACCAAAAAAACAATAAGAGTTTTTATACCCCCACTGACGCAGTTTAGATCATTTAGGAGGCGCACTTCGAGCCTGCCTGTCAGGACCAATCCGGGCTGAGAGGAATACCGGGGTACATGTCCCAGCAGAAAGACTACTTACTATAAACATTCTCCCCATGTGGAAATCAAACTTTAGTCTCTCGTGCGTGACGTCAAACCGCGAAACGCCAGGTACTCACTCTGTTTTGGTCAACTTCTTTCTCTTCCAGTTGGCATTTTTGTCACATTGCCAGCAGAAAGATTAAATGTCATGTAATCAGATAAAAATAAAATAGTTCGAAGCAACAACTGGTTTCCGTTCATTCTGCGACTCTTCTTCACTTTTTCAGTCTATTTTCATCGATATCGTTATCCATTTTTTCCCTAATAAAACTTGCCTTACAGTCGTATCGTATCGTATCTGTTAAATTTGGTCCTTATTGTGTTTACTTGCAGAAAACATCCTCTCACCTCAGCTACTGTTTGCCTACGGTTTTCTCCCCCCTTCTCTCTCTCTCTCTCTCTCTCTCTCTCTCTCTCTCTCTCTCTCTCTCTCTCTCTCTCTCTCTCTCTCTCTCTCTGCCCCTCTCCCCCTT